ATTGTATAAAAAGGGGTGGTGTAGACCTGAAATAATCTCAATAGGAAAGAAAAAAAACTAAGACTGTAAATGCTTGAATATGACAAACTTCTCAGTCAGATTCAAAAATATCTTGCACACATGCGCAGTGCAGTGATGCATATGTTTATCAAAGCCCCTCTGTTCACATACATTTTACTACTTACGAATGTGCATGTTTATTTGTATCTTATGAACTGTTCAGTTGCATATCTGCTAAAAAAAACATATTCATATTCCTTGTAGTTATGTCATCAAGGCAAAAATGGCAATTATATTCATGGTAGCTCCAGTGGCATTAGCAGTGGCTTTCTCTGGTTCTGAAAGCAATTTTCTTCGGAATACATAAAGGCACATGTAAATGAAAATATGGTTTGGATTGAAAGGTTTAGGCTTCATATAAACATAACTTTCAGAATCCGAAATCGCATTGGATTCATTTCTGAGTGCATGTAAAGATGCCTAATGAGGTTTGTTCTTGCACGTCGAGCAAGCACCTTTGCGCTTTCGTGTTTACCATATTTGATGAGTTCCATGCATGATCAATGTTCATATATGAATTAAACCCTAAATGATATCTGATCATCATGTATATATGATAATCAATATAGTTTACATTTTACTATGTCTTTATGAACATTTTGAAGTGTAAAATATTTTCAATGATGAGACAGAAACCTTACAGGTTTCATTAAAAACATCTTCATCTGTATTTCAAACATGAACAAAAGTCTTATGGGTTTGGAATAACATGAAGGTAAGTAATTGATGACCATTTTCATTTTTAGTTTAATTTTTTCATTTCAGTTTTATTTAACTAAATGTGCGTCACTTTTACAGTTATTCAGCAAAATTTCACGGGCAAAACGCAGTCATATCAATAGGTATCCATAAAAAATTGGGAATTTTACATGAGGGACACGCTAGACAAAACATGTCCACATGCAAACTTCGCATCGTATTTGAGTTTGGTTATCTCTGAACATGGGAATTTAATAAAGCTACTTGGTTTGTAAGTGACCTCTGAGTAAGAGATGCTTCACCACACTTGACAATGGGCCAACTCTGCCCGCAAATTTTCTCTGAAGTTTCGCTAATGTGACCACGTCTTCACCCTTTAAGTGTTTCATCAATACACTATAAAAAATGCTGGGTTGTTTCAACCCAACTTTGGGTCAAATATGGACTAACCCAGCTGTTGGTTTAAATTTTTTAATTACATTTTTAACTCTAAAGTTGGGTCAGTCCATATTTGACCCTATGCTGGGTTGAAACTGGGTTTTTAAAAGAGTGTACTGGTATATGAACAAAACAAGTTTCACATTACTTTAAGAGACTTTCATGTTTTCTTCTACACCATAAATTACTGTTATACATCAAACACAAATTTTCAATAGTTAAACGTAGCTTGTTAAAATGTTGCTACTTAAGGACTACAACTACAAGGGATGTGAGTGTGCTTGACAAATCAGAGACAACTTTTAGTAGTGACTTATTTTCAGTGTTGGGGGTAACGCATTACAAGTAACGCGAGTTACGTAATCAGATTACTTTTTTCAAGTAACTTGTAAAGTAACGCATTACTTTTTAATTTACAATAGAATATCTGAGTTACTTTTTCAAATAAGTAACGCAAGTTACTTTTTTTTCCAATTTATTGATTGACAGCTCTCCTGTCCCCATGTTGAGAGAAATCAGATGATGTTACTGTAGTTCTAAAATAAATATGAATATGCATTAATACATCTCACTCAAAAAAAACAACAACACAGATTCAGTATTCCTCAAAATGAATAAAAATAATGCAACTCAGAATATGACGCAAACCTGCAATAATTAAATGTTAAACAACACAAATATTCTTTATGCATTTAATCCCATTCTGTTAACCAATGTCTTTGGTTCTGACCTTCGATGATCCAGTTCAACCATACTAATAAGCAAAAATTATTACCACTGGACAAAGACTGATTCCTTCTATACAATAATAATAAGGTAAGTTTCAAAAAATAATTGTGTCAATGTATCTTTCTGTGTGCTGCTAATTTTAACTGACTAACCTTGTCAGCGGTGTTAGCTAACAGATACCAAAGATCTTTGCTATTCTGCTGTTAGAAAGAAGACTGTAGAAATACAGAACTTGTGACATATTTTGACGAATTTAAGACTTTTTTTACTTTTCAAACAGAAAAATGTGTAGCTAGTTAAAAAATGAAAAGTCAGAGGTACAATTCAAGAACATGCCAAAAGTCGTATCTTTTGCAGTGTTAACTCTATAATTTTATAACACTGAGGCTTTGGTCACTGAAGTTATTTTTAAGTTTACAATTTTATTGTCAATATTTTTAAAACATCACAATCATAGTCATTACGTGATAACACATTTAAGGTTTAAACTGAATGAGCTCTTTGTCTTGCAGTAATTATTTCTTTGCTGTATTAATACCCGAACACGTTGAACCGTGCTGAAGAATGCCGTTTCTAATGGTTTTCATTTGGCTTTCGCTTAGCCAACAGTTTCTCTGTAGCTGGCCAAGCCTGCTATTTGAGTGAAGTAAACAAGTTAAATCACATAAATTTCAAGTTTGGGTGAACTAACCCAATGGCATGGTAGTGTAGGCAGGACAGATAACACTGACAACTTATCCATATTTCCCTACTAATATTGTTTTTATTTGGTTTTATACAGGTGTCTGATGTTGATGCAGTCTGGGCACTAGTATCTGTTGGGTTGCTGACTATCATTGAAGATGAAGTACTTCTCCAAATCTTCTCTGCCTTGACCCTGTGTCTTTTTGCCATCATTGTTCAGGGTAGTACTGCAAAGAACAGTCTCCAGGGTCTACCTCAGCCATTTGCTTCCGGACTGCCATGTGCTATGTTGGATCACTGGTACAGTACATTTGGATTACCCTAATACTGTGAAGAACACTTACAGTGTGATGCTTGACTTGGGACAGGAAAAAAAAAAAACATTGGCAACATGTGCGGCCAACCCAGTGCCATACTTACTCATTGTACTGCTACCTCCACTGTTTAAAAGAAGCATACCCTAAATCAGATTGTTTTTGCTTTGTTTCAAAATGTTTGTAATGCAAGTTAAAACTGCACTGAAAAACCAAAAAAATACATTACCTTTAACTTTGAGCTGTCACTACCTTAAATTTATGTGTAATTGTATGTGTGTGTGATGAATGGAACATTGTTGTCAGTAATTGGATTCCATTTTAATGGTTCCATTAAATTTTAATAATCAAAAGCATCTCCAATTAAATGATTTTATTAAAAAAAAATAATAAGTTGTTGTTTTTTTTTTTCAGAAATACTGCACATTTACATTTTGTTTTACTTTTGCTTTAAAAAAAAGGATTTCATAGAAATTTGGATTTCATTTGGTTTAATAAAATATAGTTTAATAAAATACTCTTAAGTAAATAAATCTTAAGTGTAGCTTTTTTGTGGGAAATTAATCGTTTAGTTTAATCGAAAATAAAAATAGTCGTTAGTGGCAGCCCTAAACGCAATATTGTAATGCATTACTTTTAAAAGTAACTTTCCCCAACACTGCATATTTTTGTAGAAACACAACACAGTGGCTTCAAGTAAGGTTAACCACTGATTTTATTTCACTCATTAATCCAAAATGCTGAAAGCCCACAGGACATTATATACGGAATCCATGGCGAATTAGGGCCTGTCCCAATACACTTGCAGTCTTGGCCATCATTCATCAGGATCAGGAACATTTGTGCCCCAAAATTGCAAGATATTGAGGAAAACTCCCCAGTCTTAGCTCAATTAATTGATATTACACGTGATTTGGCAGTAAAACGTGACGTGTTTGCTCATTTTATTGATGCAGAGCATTTTAAACATTTGTAACTGCTTTTTATCACTTCATTCGAAAACCACAATTAATGTTAATGTGTCATGTTACATGTGAGCTACTGAACACACATTCAGAAGTTCAAAGTGCAAAATATTGAAAATCAAAATTGAAAATCAATTTCACACACACTTTAACATTTGGGTCAAATACGTGGTAAGCAGACAAGTGCACTTGATAAATGATTAAGTGCAAACATTTATAAACAAATAAATAAATGAATTAACTTACAAACAAACATTTATTTATTTAAAATATCATTGTTCTTCAAAAGACAACACCCCTTATAGCTGCAATGTAGTTGCATGAGGGAATACACAAATTTCACACACACTTTAACATTTGGGTCAAATACGTGGTAAGCAGACAAGTGCACTTGATAAATGATTAAGTGCAAACATTTATAAACAAATAAATAAATGAATTAACTTACAAACAAACATTTATTTATTTAAAATATCATTGTTCTTCAAAAGACAACACCCCTTATAGCTGCAATGTAGTTGCATGAGGTAATACACAAAACAGGTTAATTACAGCATAGACAGCTCCCTCCCAAACACGCTGATTGGACCTTTCTCGACTCGTGCAGCAGGTGGATTGCCAAGAAATTCATCCCACCACTGTCCCATAAGGATTTACTGAGGATCAATTGAAATCAATGCGATTCTTTCGAATCCTTCTGCTATCTTACCGAGGCTTTAACTCAGAGCACAAGTGCAGGGCTGCTTATAATATTAGCTCAGATAATCCTGTCTAGTTAAAGGACAGGTTCCATTGTCAAAGCCCACTGGATCTAGCCTAGCAAATTAGCTCCCAACAGTCCCTATAAACTGTATTATAAGGATACTTAAATTATCAGGCATGCAGATTAATGTAAACAACACATTGCCTCTCACAAACTGTATGCAACAGTGTTGATCAATGAGCACAGAAGAATTCAAACAGGTCCACGGATGCACCTGCCACCGACACTACATCACTGACCATAAAAGTAGCATGCAAATCAGAAAAATGCACAAAACCCTAGCCATTCATTATATAAGAGTATATAGGCTATTTCGTGTGTGGTTATTGCATAACAACGCGATCTTACCTGCGTTGCCAAAGAAAAGAAGCACCAAGATTATCGCCTTGGTCGGAAACATTGCAATCCCTTTATGAAACACAGTGTGTTTACTGTTTATTCTTGTCTTCCGTGCTTGAAATGAAGAATTTGTAATCCGTAAAATTACGCCTGCGAAGTTTCCGCGAAGTTTTCTGGACGGGATGCGAATATGCACGAGGATCCTGGTCGTTGAAAGGTATTGATATTGTTGCGGTTTAAATTCGCGTGCCCTTATGTCGCGCGCTGAGAGAGGCAAGGGCGCGTGCACACGCCGCTTCAAGATGCACGCGAATTAATCCGCCCAATCAGCAGCGCCTCTGAGGAAAGACGACGACATAATGATCAAATAATACACTGAACCCAACCTGGAAACTAAATACGACCACCACATACACCTGGACTGCCCAGAGTAAGGAGTGGGAGGGGGAAATCAAGACATATATAAACAAATCTTTTTTCATATACAGTATTTCTGGTAAGTTTAATTAGACACGGATATTTAAAGGGATAGTTCACGCAATGGTGAACATACTGTCATTTACCCACTCGCATGTTGTTCCAAATCTGTAAAATGTTCCTTTTTGGTGCAACAAAAGTGGAGATATTACGCAGTATGTCACATTCAGATATTGTGTGGAGAAGGATACTACAACGCGAGTGAATGGTGACTCAGTCCCTAATATTCTTTGTAACAACATGAAGAGGAGAAAATTACGACGGATTTTTTTTTCTGGGTTAACTGTCCTTTTAAGACACGCTTTGGTAATATAAAATAGTTTTTTCCATTAATCTTTCCTCAATATAGCGAGGTGTATTTAATATGCTCTAAAGGCGGTGCCCCATTTTGTCATTCTGAAAATAATGATCTCCCTCTCGGATCAGTTCACTGATGTCTCCTTTATCTAGCTCTCTCTATCCCATGCAGGGCTAAAGAGGAACTGCTTTTCACTGTGGCCTCTTTTTAGAAAGAATCGTGGTGAACTTTTAGAGAACAATGATCATCTAAAAGTATCCAATTTAAAGCCCTGCTGAGGGGCTGGCCAACTGTTTTAGTGTAAGTGAAAACTGGCAGTAGACTTGTTATTGTCCTCATGCATTACACATTGAGGTTTATTTGCATGATTATATTTGATTCCAAAAAGAAATATACCTGAAACACAAGATGTCTTTACACAGTTGAGGTAGGCAGGTATATTACATGATTAATAATTTATCATTTCATATTTTGTTAGTATTATGTTTTTGCAATTGCAATTTCTATGTGAATGAATTTTAGATTTGTTTTATTTTTTTTGTGTGGTTAAGATAGCATTTTGCAGATTAAAGACACCAATATAAAAAAATGTATGGGAAACAACCTGAAACAGGCAAAGTGAAACAAAATAGTTCATCATCATAATATTATTCTTCTTCATTTTGGTTATCATCACTATAGCATAATTTGAGTACAATTCCTGGACAATGTTACTTTGTTAGTAAAGATCTCAAAGGCTATCAGATTACCACCACGAGCAATCATGTCATTAAAAGCGGGTGTCATTGTCATTTGAGACATCTTGCATGGTATAGTAACCTTCTTTGTGTGGTGGTTTCTGTGCCATTGTGATTGTTTCTTTGCACACCATAGAATTCAATAGGTGTGCCTATTTTCTGCCTCCCAAATTTTCATCTGCCTGAAAATAAGCTGATAATACTCTTTTTGTCATCCGGATCTGTGGTAATAACCGTCAGAACTGTCTGAAACATCGACAGTTCACATGCACAGCAGTTTCTTTCATTTTTGCCATATTAATATGTGGTTGTTCTATTTTTGCAGTTGCAGCCAAACAAAGTACTTTGATACTTACTGTTAAAAAAATAGCACGTTAAAATGTTAGACATGCATTGGATTTGCTATGGTGTCTTTTATAGGTAAGTTACTTTTAAAAGTAATGCATTACAATATTGTGTTACTTCATAAAAAAAGTAACTAATTGAGTTGCTTAGTTACTCTTTATGTAAAGTAATGCATTACATTACTTTTGCATAACTTTTGGTCACCTGGACTGGGCTTGCTTTTTTGTTTATTTAATAACAAACAAACAAAAAAAGTAAAAATTTTGGCAACTGTAAAGGCCCTATCACACAAAAAATGAAATTAAGCCTCAGGCTGAATGAAGTGCCTCTGTCTCTGCCCCTCACTCCCAATTTCTCTCAACACAGGACAGGAGAGGTGTCAGTGAATAAATGGGAAAGCAAAGTAACTTGCATTACTTATTTGAAAAAGTAACTCAGATATTTCATTTTAAATTTAAAAGTAATGCATTACTTTGCTAGTTACTTGAAAAAAGTAATCTGATTATGTAACTCACATTACTTGTAATGTGTTACTACCCCCAACACTGGTAACTTATAATAATTAACATATTGCATGTTGAAATTAAATTGCAAAATGAATTAAATTGGACGGTACAGTGGAAAAATGTGGGGAAATAATTTAATTAAAAAAATTAAAAATAAACTTTTTTTTTTTCTCAGGATAGTCTTTTAAAGTTGTTTAAAGTTTTGAAACTCTTCTATTTGCGTATTCACAGAGGAGCTGGCAAGAGTTGTACAGATAGCACTAAATAAATGGGAAAGCAAAGTAACTTGCATTACTTATTTGAAAAAGGAGCTCAGATATTTCATTTTAAATTTAAAAGTAATGCATTACTTTGCTAGTTACTTGAAAAAAGTAATCTGATTATGTAACTCACATTACTTGTAATGTGTTACTACCCCCAACACTGGTAACTTATAATAATTAACATATTGCATGTTGAAATTAAATTGCAAAATGAATTAAATTGGACGGTACAGTGGAAAAATGTGGGAAAATAATTTAATTAAAAAAATAAAAAATAAACTTTTTTTTTCACAGGATAGTCTTTTAAAGTAGTTTAAAGTTTTGAAACTCTTCTATTTGCGTTTTCACAGAGGAGCTGGCAAGAGTTGTACAGATAGCACTAACAGCTAAGGGAAATGTGTTTCTGCCTAAGTTTTGTTTGATGAGTCCTCAAGCAAGAGAATAGCTTACATTTCATGTCTGGGCAAGAAAATTATGACAATATAGCATTCATCACTGTCACGCTTAATATGCCCATTCCTACTCTAATAATTTACTTTATGCGTCTGACAATTATTCTAACACAAGTAGCCATAATTTCTTTCTCCTGTGAGGTCTTTTCTAAAATTATTAAGCATGCAATTGGCGTGGAGAGAAGGGGTGAAAGCGCTGAATGATGAATTGTTTATATCTGCTGACATCTGCTGGTCAGACAATATACTTGCAAGCACGAGCCTGCAATTTGGTATATTTTCCTGTAGAGGACAGACTTGTAACGTATTCGAAGTGCAGAGTCAGGTCTTCCTCTTATTAATATAGAAAGCTGTGTATATAGAGCGTGAAAACTTTGATTGCTTCCATTTACAGGAGCACAAGAAGAACTGAAAGATTTTCTTGAAAGTGGGCAACAAAATTGATTGCAGATCTCAACAGATTCTCACGTCCCAGATAAACAGTCTGTCTTATCAGTATCAGAGTAGCTTACTGAACAGTAAAAGATCAGTAAAATACTTTCCCTTGGGTTGTGCTTGGCAGCACGAAATAATTATTTTACACATTGATTAACATTTCATAGTAATGTATATTTTAACGGCATTCTTTTAAATAATTCTTTAAAAAAATATCCAACTTATGTGTGACGTAATAGTTGCTTCCAGTATCATCCACTTCCAGTTATTTTAGCTGTACAAAAACAGCCTGTTATGTTGCTTGATATTGCAAATTGTTATTTCTTATCATTTTACTTTAAATTATTATCATAAGCATGAACACATTGGTTTGTAGCACAACTAGGGCTAGTTTTACTGTTTACTGCACTTCATAATTCTTAATTAGTTACTATAGCAGCTAATGAAACCGAAGTCTTATATATTTACAGGAAATAGCTTACTCCCACTATGCAAAATAAGGTGGATAACATAAATGTCATTTTCTTTTTCAATTAGATTTATTCGATTTATTATTCATCTTAATTTAAACTAAAATGTATTGGTCTATTGGCTACTTTTAGAAGGTTTTTAATACTATTTTCAGGTGGTTAAAATGGCCTTGCTGAATAAAAAGCTAGTTGGCTGGTCTTAGCTGGTCTCCCAGCCTGGCCAAGCTGGTTTTAGCTGGTTGGTCAGTTGGTCTTCCAGCCTGACCTAAGGGCCAGCTATAGAAGTGGTCAAAACCCCTCTAAAGCCAGCCTGCAACCAGCTTTGACCAGACTGGAAGACCGGCTAAAACCAGCCAACCAGCTTAGAATGGTTTTAGCGGGGGTTTTTGTTGTTTTTTTCAGCAGGGGGAGACCAGCTTAAACCATTTTAGGCTGGTTTAAACCATCTTTTAACAAGTAATGTAATTTAAGAGACATTACGAGCAAAATAATACTAAAGTTTTTTTTTTTTTAAATACATTTTTGACAAATGTTCATGGTTTGGGTTTGTTTGTTTGTTTGTTTGTTGTTGTTTTCCAGTTCCACTTCTGGAACTTTTCCATAAATATAAGCTATTATGCATTTTGTCCTTCCTATAGTATCAAGAACTGACGTGACAGAGTATAATTCAATGCAGCTGGTGCATAACCCCCTTTACACCCCACCACACATGACACATACATTAACATTTCAGACATGTACACAATTTATGATAATCATAATTGGAGCTACTTTTAATTGTAAACAGTTTCCAGATTCTCTGGATTTCCTGTATGTTCTGAGCGCAAATATCTTGCAGTCATTTTCATTTTCAAGCTAATAAATTCCCCTGTTTGTAGAGATAAACGCCTAATGTAATGATGTTTTCCGGAGAAGAATCGCCCACTGTGACAAATGAGAGAGAGCTGAATTACTGCCATTGGATGTAGCGGCAAGACGACTGTCTAATAAAAAATGAACCAAAATAACAGAATCCATTACATGCCTCTAAATGCCTTGATTCAAAAAAGCAAATTGGAATAAACAATTTTAGTTTGATTATAGTTACTTTGTTTTTCCCCCCCCATAATGCAAATTAAAGTCTGAAGTGTGGTTTGGTTGACAAAAGATTGTCACATAAAGGGCTTGTGAGTCTTAGTTTGCATTTTTATAGACCCGGTTTTCCATGACAAAAGGTTTAACACGCACAAACGCGTAAACATGTTAACAATAAATCTATATGCTCGTTGTTTGCATAATCATGCTAGTGTTTTCAGGATGTTCTTTTATTTAAGGTCACATGTTCCCTTTGGGGTT